GCGGTGGTGAAAGAGCAGAGCGTTCAGTCTGCCAATCAGGATGAAAAGTTGCTGCAAACCATGAATCTCACCCAGAAGAGGCTGGACGTGTACCTCCAGGTACATTTTGTTTTGTTTAAATGTCAGACTGAATTTCAAGAAGTTTAACTGTTGGTGGCGTGGTTGTGAGAATGGCACTGAGATGTGTTTCTGAACGGTTTTCCCTTTTCATTTCAGGAGTTTGAGCTTCTCTACTTCTCTTTAAGCAGCGCCCGGATCTTCTTCAGAGCTGACAAGACAGCAGCTGAGGAAACTCAGGAGAAGAAAGATAAAGGTTAGCAGTTTGTGGGGTTCTTAATAAAGTCCTTTAATTATGCAAAACCACTGGCACACTCCCACTGTCATGTATGCTTTTTGTAGATAATTTTTCAAGAGATGGAAAGATTAAAGCTGTCATTTTATTTCCAACAGAAAACGCTGCCAAAGCAGGAAGCTCTGCAGACAGTTCCACCCCCGCTGACCCTGCCTCGAAGTGAGCCTCGCTGTCAGATCACTGTCACGTACTGAAGAGGAGAGCTCAGCAGCAGGCTGCGTTCGTGTGTGCAGTTCAGGGATTTAAAATAACTGGAAAATGTTGAAAACGGTAGAAAGACGATGACTTTAAAACGCTTTGTGTTCTGTCACAGCACGGTCGTCTTCATTAGACAAAGAATGTGTACTTAAAGTGCTAATCAGGATATCACCCCTGCATCTAATAACTCACTTTGTATCAGTAGCATTTACAAATGCAGCAGCGTTTTAAAAAGATGAGTCGGCTTAACAAATCTAATGTAAAAGTGTGTCTTTTGATATTTTTACTCAGTCTGGATGAACGTATTTTTACTACAGTACCGTCGGTCATGAACTAGTTTGGATCTTTGTTTCAATTAACTGGTGTGCTGCCTATTTGTTGGTGTCCACTGTACTTATTGTGATTCTTTATGGCCTTCAATGGAAACTTTGAAATGAAGTCTCTTGTGAATGTTTTCAATGTATAATTTCACATTTGTGTGCCATAACTGTGTACCATTTCTTGGTCCACTTTATACGTTGTATGAATTAGGGCGTGTATGTGCCTTTCTAAACTGTGGATACTTGTTTTGATAACATAATTTGGAAATAATTCATCCGATGCAAAAGATACAGCGCTAAAATTAAATTATTTTATACTGCTGCTCTGAAGGTGTATCATTACATTTTTTGTTTTCCAGTTTTGTATCTTAAGCATGTGGTACATGTGTAATTACATTCCATGTATTAACTAAAGGAATAAAAAATAAACTTTGCATTTTCAGCAGATTTTAATGGCTCATT